TTGGAGCCTCAGCTTCAGGATCTGTTCTTCCAGTGAGCACTCAGGCCTGATTTCCTTTAGAATTGATAGGTTTGTTCTCCTTGCAGTCCAGGGGACTCTCAGGAGCCTCGTCCAGCACCACAATTCGAAAGCATCAATTCTTCGGCGGTCAGCTTTCTTTATGGTCCAGCTCTCACTTCCATACATCACTACAGGGAAAACCATAGCTTTGACTATGCGGACTTTTGTTGGCAAGGTGATGTCTCTGCTTTTTAAGATGCTGTCAAGGTTTGTCATCGCTTTCCTCCCAAGAAGCAGGCATCCTTTAATTTTGTGGCTGCTGTCACCATCTGCAGTGATCATGGAGCCCAGGAAAGTAAAATCTATCACTGCCTCCATATTTTCCCCTTCTATTTGCCAGGAGGTGATGGGACCAGTGGACATGATCTTAGTTTTTTTTATGTTGATCTTCAGACCATTTTTTGCATTCTCCTTTTTCACCCTCATTACAAGTTTCCTTAATTCCTCCTCACTTTCTGCCATCAGGGTGGTATCATCTGCATATCGGAGGTTGTTGATATTTCTTCCAGCAATCTTAATTCCAGCTTGGGATTCATCCATTCCAGCCTTTCACATGATGTATTCTGCATATAAGTTAAATAAGAGGGGGACAATATACAGCCTTGTCATACTCCTTTCCCAATTTTGAAGCAATCAGTTGTTCCATATCCAGTTCTAACTGTTGCTTCCTGTCCCACGTATAGGTTTCTCAGGAGGTAGATAAGGTGTTCAGGTACTCCCATTTCTGTAAGGACGCCATAGTTTGCTGTGGTCCACACAGTCAAAGGCTTTTGCATAATCAATGAAGCAGTAGTAGATGTTTTTCCGGAACTCTCTGGCTTTCTCTATAATCCAGCGCATGTTAGCAATTTGGTCTCGAGTTCCTCTGACCCTTTGGAATCCAGCTTGTACTTCTGGGAGTTCTCGGTCCACATACTGCTGAAGCCTACCTTGTAGGATTTTGAGCATAACCTTGCTAGTGTGCAAAATGAGTGCAATTGTATGGTAGTTGGCATTGGCCTTCTTTGGGATTGGGATGTAGACTGATCTTTTCCAGTCCTCTGGCCACTGTTGAGTTTTCCAAACTTGCTGGCATATTGAGTGTAGCACCTTAACAGCATCATCTTTTAAGATTTTAAATAGTTCATCTGGAATGCCATCACCTCCACTGGCCTTGTTGTTAGCCATGCTTTCTAAGGCCCACTTGACTTTACTCTCCAGGATGTCTGGCTCAGGGTCAGCAACCACATTATCTGGGTTGTCCGGGATATCCAAATCTTTCTGGTATAATTCCTCTGTGTATTCTTGCCACCTCTTCTTGATGTCTTCTGCTTCTGTGAGGTCCCTACCATTTTTGTCCTTCATCATGTCCATCTTTGCACAAAATGTTCCTCTAATATCTCCAATTTTCCCGAACAGATCTTTGTTTTTTTTCCTTTTCTATTATTTTCCTCTATTTCTTTACATTGTTCATTTAAGAAGGCCCTCTTTTCTCTCCTTGCTATTCTTTGGAAATCTGCATTCAATTTTCTGTAACTTTCCCTATCTCTCTTGCATTTTGTTTCCCTTCTCCTCTCTGCTATGTCGAAGTTCTCGTTGGACAGCCATTTTGCTCTCTTGCATTTCCTTTTCTTTGGGATGGTTTTTGTTGCTCCCTCCTGTACAGTGTGAGAAGCCTCTATCCAAAGTTCTTCACAGGATCCAAATGCAAGCAGCATGGTCGGAGTATGTCTCTGAGATGAGAAAACACGTGCTTGTTCTGGATGCTGATGGGAGGGAAGGAAAGGACGTCCATGGCCACATTGGACAACTTTGGCCATATGACCACTTTCCTAGCCCAGAAATGGAGGAGATCTGACTGGGGGGGCCTGGGGGGGCTTTTGCCAGATATTCCCGCACCATCGACTCTGCTGAATCCTCCTCAGCCGCCTGTCTTTCCTCTACGGCAATTGCCCAGGTCACCACAGAGTTCCAGTAATGGAGACTGGGGCCTTCACCAGCTGAAGTCCTTCCCTGTGGCTCTGGCAAACCACTGTGCCCCTCTTCTGACTCATGGCCTGATGTTCCCCTCTCCCCATGCAAGCATCGTGCCCCAAACACCCTGTGGACCTCAATGGGAGAGCTCTGTTCTCCACTGCTTTGGGTCTGAGGTGCATGCTGCCAAGCTGCGCTTGATTCAAGGATCACACGCATGTCATGTGGTAAGCTCTGTCCCTGTAGACAGGATAGATTTGCTTCCGCATGGCTGCCTGCAACCTCTTCACCAAAGCCCTGGTCCATGAAAGGAGGGAGGATCCTGGTGCTGCTGCAATCTCCAGGGACCGATCGAGGGCATGAATCGGGATGACCTGCCCCAGGCTCGCCGTATAGCCACACAAAATGTCAGTGATTTCCTGGAAAGGCTTTAGCATCTCCACCATCTGGGAGAGGGCCAGCCAATCCATGGCACTGATGCCCATCTCTCCCCCCCCCAGGCAGAATGGGCATGGAGGACTTGATGTCCTCCAAAATGGCCTTCTGCTCCACCAGGACACCATGGTGTAGGTGGAGTTCCACCTGGTGGGCAGGTCTGTCAGGAGAACATGGGTCTCCTGACCCAACTCCTCCTGCCTCTCACACAGCTGGCAGGCAGTTTTCATGCTGCAGAAGAAGTGGTCCACCAGTTGGTGGCATTGCTCCAGGAGTGCCTGGATAACCTCCCCTTCTGGTGCCCACTCCTGCAGTGCAGACAGGAACTCATTGGCGATGTTTTTCCCCATCAGCTGAGCTTCCATGTGCCGCAAATGCAGCGGAATGGACATGTAGCCTGGGGGCAGAACAAGGGCTTCCACTTGCGGCCTTGTCACCGATGCCCTGCCACTCCGCAGGTCCTCTGGCTGCCACCAGTGGACTGTAAGAGGTAGCCATGCTGACCTCTGTTCCACAGGTCCACCGTGAAGTGCACTTTATAACCCCTGTATTCATGAAAGATGGTCACGGACCACCTCCCACACAGAGTCATAGAGCAAGGGCAGAACTCTAGAACTGAGGGTTCTCCATGAGGGAAGGTTTTTGCCAGGGGGCAAAAAAATGCAGCAACCGGCGGAAGGATGGGGCTTCCATGGTGGACAGTGGAAGTCCGAACAGGGCAATCATCTTGGCGGTGAGACGAGTGGCCACCTCCCAGGCCTTGCCCTTTGACCGCCGGCTGAGGGTCATTGCAGACCCAATGGGTGTCACATTCCAGAGCATGGCCTGCCTCATGCTCCCAGCCCCAGAAACCCCTGTGGCTGCCCTTTTGAAAGAAGGTGTCTCCTCCTGTCTCCCTTCTGCCTCCCCTGGAGCTGCTCTTTTCCCTCTCTCAGACACACACACACAAAACCAGGAATTAAATCTTGTTGGGGAAAGAGATCCACCCACCCACCCACTATGCCTGAAGAAGACACAACCACAAGCCACCAAAAATAAAACGTTTTAAACTTAAAGCCCTGTCAACTAAGTCTCAGAAGACACATACACACACACACACATAGAAGGAAATAAATTTTGGGGGGAAGGGGTTCCACACAGTCACACAGCACACTCCCCCCATGAACACAAGCCTCCAAAAAATAAGTAACCTAAAGCTAACTGAACTGCTAGAAATCCCTCCCGAAATTCCCAGTAAAGTTGTACTAATAAAAGAAAAAGAAGTGTTTGCTTTGCTGCCACAGAAGTTAAGCCACAGCTAGCAAGCAAGTAGAAGAATATAGCACGCAAGCCAACAGCAACTGTTCTCACTCTGGAGAGAATCAGAACAGAAGTGGGAAATGGCTGCAGGGGAAAAGCTTATAAAGCCTCTGTAAAAGTTACAGAGCCCTTTCAGCAGTGCTACTGGCTGCCTGACATGCCAATCCAGGAGCTCCTGATTGGCCAGAGCTTCTGATTGGCACCGTCCAGCGAGCTCAGAGATGGCATAGATAGGCCCCAAAAAGGGTAACGAATATAGACAAAATAACAAATAAAACTGGGAAAATATTTGTCAAGCTGTATTCATTGGGGACTTAAAATCTGATGAATATATGATGAATCACCTATATTCGTCGAAAAAACCAATCCATTTTTGTATTCATCCCCATCTTTCATCACAATTTATGTTAAAAACAACTATAGGCTGCTTTGAAATGGAGCAAGATTGTGTTGTGGGGGAAGAGGCAAGCCTTCCCTTATCAACTGGCTGCCTGAGTGGGATTTTTAAATAGATTGCTGTGCCTTATTGCTTTGAATGTGTTTTTGGTGTTGCTTTTGTTTACTGTTTTTTTTAGTGTGGTATTTGTTTCATAATTTTTAGTATTTGTATATATACTGTTTTTAGCTTTAAATATTGTCTTTTAATGGTGTAAGCTGCCTTGGGTCCTTTTTAAGGTGAAAGATGGGGTAAACATATTTAAATAAACAAATAAAGTCAAGGAAATTAGAACTCGGTCTGTAGAATATGTTTTCAGAAGAAGATTTCTAGAAAAATTGTTACCTAAAATGCTACCTTATTTAAAAAAATCAAATTTATATGCACAAGATTTTCTAAGTATCACACATTAAAGAAAGCACAATAACTCCAAGAAGAAACTGGAACATTTCCCTAGCTCTCAGGGTGTTCCACACATACAAAGCAGCCATTTTAACAGAAATACTGGCTTAGGCTTGCTAACTTTTTACTGAGCATCCTGATGATGTCGTTTCTAAATAGCTGACGTCTCTGGAGTGTTTTGCATTCCCTATTTTTTACATCTGATTTGTGAATTTTTATTTAAATTAGACATAATTGCATCTCCAGGGAATCTAGAAAGTAATGTTTCAGGACTGTGTAACTCTTGTCAATGTATGTATCCTTCAAAAGAAAAAAAATTGGGGAGGGAATTGATCATAATATAGGTTAGTGTTTTAACAAACCAAAGTTTGTAGCTCTATACATCTTTTACAACAGTTTAAGATTAGAGTCTTACCTTGAGGAAAATAATTTGGTTGCACTAAATAGAGGAAAGCATGGACTACTCGGAACAAAATCCCTATTGCTCCAGGTTCATGGTATATACTAGTATCGTATGTTTTTGCAGGAACATATCCAAAATCCAGAGTATCAGATGGTGGTTGGTATAAAGGCTGCACTTCAGAATTTGTTCTCCCAGTAAGCCATAAAAGAAGCAATAAACAGAGTTCCCAAGCCATAGCTGACCAAAACACATAAAACGAGGTAGAAGTGGTGTGGAATGAAATCTTCACCACAGATTATTTTGCAGGAAGATCTTCCAAGTGAAAGAAGATGGTCTTCTCACTCCTCTGGTTACTACAGGATGCACAGTCACATTGAAATGCCTTTTTGGCAGTTCTTCACAAGTCTCCGAATTCTGTTTCTACAAGAAGGGAAAACAGCTGTTTAATAAATGTTGTCTCACCCATGAGGTAGCAGAACAAGTGTGAAATGTATGCAGTCTCCTGTGAAATTTTAACACATGTTACCTTCTTGAAAAGCAAGACATAAAAGATATGTGTTTTTCATGCATTGCTTAAAAAATTATACCTGCTTTCTAGTAAAGGAGGAAATGCAACAATTGGTCTGTGAATCAGAAGAGAAGTTAATTGAAATCCACAAACATGTATTTTTACCACTTTCAAAACATCTGAAGGGCAAAAGATTAGCTTTGTTTGGGATGGGTCCTTCAGTACATAGAATTTTTGTTGACAGACAGTAATTGGCTTCCTAACATGAAAACTACAAAATGTTCCTCTGTAACATAGTGATAAAGCTGGACAGAATATGAGAGAATAAAAATGCGCAATTATTTTCTTACAATTCAAGTGCCTTGAATATAGGGCAACAGACCCAGGTATCAAACAAACTTCTTGCAAGTCAACCAATAGACGTGTATCTTATTCACTATGTGAAAACCATTAGATAGTATAATATGAAATCCACATGGTCACAAGCCACTGTGTTGGTTCTCCTGCAATATGAAAGTGAAGCAGATTTGGCAGCATCCAAACTTGGTATGTTCCTGAAGCCTTCACCCCAAGTTTCCTTAAGGATGTGAGCAAAATTTAGGTAATGATCACATAGGTCCCACTTGATGTTTCCCCCAACCTTTTTTGCCATGACATCACACTGTTCATTCATGTTTCTCTCCAACCATATCACTGTAACATGCACTTCCTTTCAGCAGTACTCCCCTCCCACAGATCATGCACTCTATGCATAAGAACATAAGAAGAGCCCTGCTGGATCAGGCCAACGGCCCTTTTAGTTCAGCTTCCTGTATCTCACAGTGGCCCGACCAGATGCCTCTGGGAGCACACAAGACAACTAGATACCTGTCTCCTGATATCCCCTCCTGCATCTGGCATTTTGAGGTACCTTCCTTTTAAGCTTGAAGATTATACATCCCCATCATGGCTTGTAACCTGCAATGGACTTTTCCTCCAGGAATCTGTCCAATGCCCTTTAAAGGCATCTAGGACAGATGCCGCCGCCACATCCTGTGGTAAGGAGTTCCAGAGACTAACAAAATAAATATTTTCTTTTGTCTCTTCTCACAATCCCAACCCTCAATTTGAGTGGATGTCCCCTCATTCTAAAACTGCATGAGAGGGAAAAGAGCTTCCCTCTATCCACTTTATCCATCCCCTGCAAAATTTTATATGTCTCAATCATGTCCCCCCTCAGGCACCTTTTCTCTAGACTAAAGAGCCCCAAACTCTGTAGCATTTCTAAGTGAGGTGTCCCAACCCCATTATCACTTTAGTTGCTCTCTTCTGCACCTTTTCCAGTTCTACTATGTCTTTTTTAGGTGCAGCAACCAAAACTTTACTCCAGCCTTACGAGTATTTTGTACAATGACATTATAATGTTGGCTGTTTTATTTTCAATCCCCTTTTTAATGATACCTAGCATGGAATTGGCCTTCTTCGCTGCGGCCGCAGACTGGATTGACACTGTCATCGAAATGTCCACCAGCACACCAAGATCTCTTTCCTGATCTGTCATGGACAGCTCACAATCCACTAACTGATGACTAAAGTTTTGATTTTTTTGCCCCAATGCACATTACTTTACATTTTCTTATATTGAAACACATTTGCTATTTTGCTGCCCATTCTCCCAGTTTGGAGAGATCCTTCTGGAACTCTTCACAATTCCTTCTGGTCTTCACCACCTGGAAAAGTTTTGTGTCATCTGCAAACTTGTCCACCTCACTGCTTATCCTTGTCTCCAGGTCATTTATGAACAGATTGGAAACTCTGTGATGAGATGGGTTTTTGAGTTAAAGTCTTGTAAGGAATATGGGGTTTGTAACTGAGAAATGAGCAAGAGAGGTTCCATCTTGTTTCTTTGTATAAAGTATCTATGCTATGCTAACAGGTTGTTTTCTAGGTGAGCAGAGAGAATGTTATTCTGATAGCCTGAGAAAAGGACTTGGTGTGATTAGATGGGAATTGTTGTGACTCTTTGCTAAACCACAGTAACCCAAATAACATCTGGTGTGTATGGGAAAGAAGTCATGTGGTGCAACAGGACTGTTTGCCTAGTAACGAACTCTGATTGGATGATCGTGGGAAGGTGCGATAAGCCCTTGCCAGTTACTCTTGAAAAAGGAACTTTTTGCCTATGGACATTGTCTTTCAAGACCGACCCTTCAGTCATTCAAGACCGACTCTTCATTCATTCGT